AAGCAACCATCATTAGTCATGTAGTAGATATCAAGTGCACTATGTATATTAAATCTTCATATAAGTGTTGATTTCAATGAGAGTATCAATTAGGACGATGACAATGATGTTGGGAAAATAGAAGAAGAATAGTATAGATTGTGCGGTGCTGCAAGGTACTAAGACCTCCACTGCAGAAGCAGAGAGACTTAGGTTAGTTCGGGAAAAAATCGAGAGAGTTAGGCATAACCCCTGGACAAAGACGCACAGGTCGTGAGCATCGTAGGATAATTATTCATAGCGATGACAACAACGATGACGGACAAAACACATGCAAAGGAGGCAATGAGCATAAACAGTTTCAAAGTCTAGGTGACTATAGCCTAGAAACTTTACAATGTAGTATTCCTACTTGGCAAGGAGGTATTGTTGTTGCTCTACCGACTCCATCGGGCTTCACGGTGATTTTTTCCCTTGTCAAACCTGATAAAAAAAACTCAAGAAAATCCTGAACCCCATCGTCGATCTTACTACTTTTAAGTAGTGCTTTTTACTATTATGTAATATTATGTAAACTAGTTCATCAAAAACAGTATTACTTCAGGTATCTAAAATTTTCTCCAAAACTCTATTATGCCTATAATATATATTTTTTATTTTATTTTATGTGACAATATATAAAAACAATACATGTAAAGTTTTTTAAAAAAATTACAATTTTGTACAATTTTTTTGGTTTTTTTGGGAATTTTTACCCAAATTACATTTTCCAGTAAAAATTGGGGCACTAATCAGTTGATTTAGTCCGAATCAATCCAACTAATCGGATAGGACCAAGATTGACTAGTCAGCCCGATTCGTTTTTTTAACACTGACATCCACCACCCTAACCAGGCCCATTCCTCTCTCCAGCAACATTCTTTTGCAAAAGGAAACATGATTTAAGAGTTTCAAGAAAGTGATCAATGCACTTCAAAGGAGAGTGAGGCTGCTAGAGATTCTTAAAGTCTATTCCAAAGAGAGTGAGAGAGAGATATTCCAACAATTTATGAGCAAATGGGGTAACTCATCCACGGCCATGGATAAGAGGAAGGGGGAGTTAAAATGTCAAAGCTCTTCTTGACCAATGAATCACATTCGATATTTCAAAAATGAGAACTATTCTTTGGAGATCTATTTAGGTTAGCCTTCTTTGGAGTGTATGGAAGGAAAGAAATAGAAGAGTCATTAAAATTGAATATTTTGGCAGTTCCAGCTGATTGGTTCCTTGCACATAAGGATAGTGGCTTTATTCTTAAAAGTCTTATCATTAGCAATCATTTTGCATGACTATGAGTGTTACCACCAACACTCGTAGTGAAGTTGTATGTATACCACCACCAATTAATTCCTTCAAACTTAATTTTAATGGAAGTTCACTTGGCAGTCCAGAGCCAACTAACTACGGTGGTCTTATCAAAAATAATTTGGTTCACATTATATTTTCCTTCTCGGGTTCTTGTAGTATCACAACAACAAATATGACTGAAGCACAAGGTTTATTAAAAGGTTTGAAATTGCTATGCATGTTGGAAAGGGGCAGAATTATCGAATGAGACTCGGCAAATGTCATTACCTGGAGTAAGAGAAAGACCCATATTCCTTGAAGATTAAGGACTATTTTTCATCAAATTTAAGATATTTTATCAACTTCTATGGTAACAGTCCAACATTGTTATAGAGAGGCGAATAAAGATACCGATGTTTTTGCCAAAGGAGGAGTCTATACTCTCTCTCTATTGGTTACTTCATTTCTGTAATCTTGCATCTTTGCTTGAGCATCTTGTATTTTATATTTGAATTAATAATAAATCGTACGTTACCGGTTAGAAAAAAAAACAACAAGAGAGATAAGCAAGAATAAGGGACAAGGGAAGAGATCTTGAGTTTTGTGGCAATTTTTGCAGGAGATTCTTTTTTTTTTCTTTTTTTGAAGAATAGGGGAAGGGGAATCGGTGACCCTTTTAATTTTGCAGTTTTGTGGAAGGAGATTTATTTCATATTATTTGCTTTAACAAATGAAATCTGTTTTAGAAAATTAAATTTCTAAAAATTTGAAATATGATTCGAATACTTTTTAAAATCAAGTATCATTACTAATTAACAAGAAAAATTAAATTAAACTTATAATATCTCCTAAATAGGTACTATATCTAAGAGGATAAGAGCACTGTTATGTCACTCTCAATCTAATATTACTCTCTCAAGAGCATAAATTCTAAAAAAAACTGAAATCCCTGCCCAAGAAAATTTTTTATATCTAAAATTTCGAGATCTACTCAAAATCACTTGATGAGTATTTTCCAAAAAATTGGAGCAGTCAAATCTAATTGTTTAGAAACTCAAAATCCTCTTTCTCAAAAAATACTAATTTGGTTACTCTTTCAATGATTATTTAGTGTGAAAACGTCACTACAAAATCTATTCACTTCATCCAAAAAGAAGTTTTCTCCCATAATGGATGGTTTAAACTTTAGATGCCCAAATGTGATAGGTTCCTGCATATTGCTAATTACAAACAACCCAAAAGTAGAGGCTCAAAATACAAACATGTATACAATTAGCAAAAAGACAGTCAATCAATCCTTTTACATGATAAACCCTTCTTTTACTGTAACGCATCATGACTCAAAATTTTTAATTGAACCTCTAAAAACCTATTACTTAGTTTGTACTACTGGAAAAAAAAATACGGATAGAAAATTCGAGTTCTATAATTTATATACTAGAGGATTTTGTTTGATCATGGTATTAAAAAAAAAAAGTATAGGACTAGGTAATTTGTTTTTGCTCATAGATATTACTAGGGGTTAGATGTCAAGTTGTGAGCTTGACATTTATCATTGACTTAGTTCAAAATTCAAAAAGAAAAAAAAATCACATTTGATAAATAGGTTTGAACGTGATCTCCAAGTAAATGGTCTTATATTATACAATCTTTTTTTAAAAAAGTAAAATATATTTTATATCAAACAACCTTGAGTAAAATTCCTGGACTAACAACAAAAAATGTTAAAACGTTTCTCATTTATTATAATATCTGTGGATACTTTAGATAATTTTGTAATAATAAAAAAATAGAAATATCTAAATCTTATAACTCAAAATACCTGTCCCTTGCTAGTTTTCGTTAAAAAGAACGGTGCCACGTGTGCTTCATACAAAAAAGTTCATCACAATAGTTTTTCACAACAATATGCGCAGGAACAGCCAGCAAAAGGGAATAAAAACATCAGAGCGAGAGAGAGGAGGGCAATAAAAGAACGGAAATGTTTATTTGGACCATCAAATATAAGTTAAATGGGACCTCACTTTTTAGCGGTCGAATATTTGTTCGCCATTGGATATTAGTTCAATTATTTTTTTAACA